TCCTTCCCCTATGATTTTTTAGTTTCCCATGTCTTTTCTTTGATCATTCTTCTAAATGCCCAAAAAACCACTAAAACCCCCTTTCTCCCCTCTGACTAATACTTTTATTAACTCCACACCTTCTCCTACTTTCCACCTCCGAATTTTCTGCATAATATTTACACCACCCCCATTCCCCTTAAACAGGACATCTCCACTGCCTCCAACCGTCTCCTCGCTGTTTGCATTTACCACCCAAGCTTCACACCCATATAAGAGTGTGGGTACTACATACTTTCATACATTCCCTTCTTTGCCTCCATAGATAACGTTTTTTGACTCCACATATACCTCAACGCACCACTCACCTTTTTTCCCTCATCAATTCTACGATTAACCTCATCCTTCATAAATCCATCCGCCGACACGTCAACCCCCAAAGTTTTCTGAAACATTCACTTCTTCCATACTCCTCCCCAATTTGATATCCAATTTTTCTTTATCTAAATCTTTTTTGACACCCTCATCACCTTACTCTTTTCTATGTTCACTTTCAATTTTTAAACCTTTACACACATTCCCAAACTCATCCATAACCTTTGCAATTTTTCTTTAGAATCTCCCATAAGCACAGTATCATCAGCAAAAAGTAACTGTGTCAATTCCCATTTTGAATTTGATTCCCCATAATTTAACCCCACCCCTCTCCCAAACACCCTAGCATTTACTTCCTTTACAACCCATCTATAAATATATTAAACAACCATGGTGACATTACACATCCCTGTCTAAGACCTACTTTTAAACCGGGGAAATAGTTTTCCCTCTCTTCTACAAACCCTAACCTGAGCCTCACTATCCTCAAAAAACTCTTTACAGCATTTAATAACTTACCCCCTATTCCATATACTTGCAACATCTGCCACATTGCTCCTCTATCCAAATTATCATATGCCTTTTCTAATCCCTAAATGCAATAAAAAACTTCCTACCTTATCTAAATACTGTTCACATTATGCTTCAATGTAAAAAACTTGATCTACACATCCCCTACCCACTCGAAACCTCCTTTCATCCGCAGTCCTACATTCTGTCTTACCTCTAATTCTTTCAATTATAACCCTACCGTACACTTTTCCTGGTATACTCAGTAAACTTATTCCTCTATAATTTTTACAGTCTCTTTTGTCCCCTTTCCCTTTATGTAAAGGGGACTATTTCATGCTCTCTGCCAATCCCTAGGTACCTTCCTCTCTTTCATACATTTATTAAACAAAAGTACCAACCACTCCAACACTATATTTCCCCCTGCTTTTAACATTTCTGTCATGTCCCATCAGTTCCAGCTGCTTTACCCCTTTCATTTTAGTAATGCCTCACGACTCCCCACACTTACAATCGCTCTTCTTCACTCCTAAAGATGGTTACCTCCCTGACCAGTGCAGAAATTACTGCCTCTCTTTCTTCCTTAACATTTAAAAGTTCCTCAAAATATTCTCGCCATCTACCTAATACCTCCATCTCCCCATCTACTAACTCCCCTACTCTGACAAATCCATACTTTCCCTAGGGTTTCTTAACTTGTTTAACTCACTCCAAATTTTTTTCTTATTTTCATTAAAATTTCTTGACAGTGCCTCTCCCACTCTATCATCTGCTCTCCTTTTGCACTCTCTCACCACTCTCTTTACCTTTCTTTTACTCTCCATATACTCTGCTCTTCTTATAACCTCTCATAAAGCTACCTTTTTCTCTTTTATCACACCCTTTACTTCATCATTCCACCAATCACTCCTCTTTCCTCCTGCCCCCACCCTCCTATAACCACAAACGTCTGCCCCACATTCTAATACTGGAGGGATGTGTGATAGTATTCATTTAAAGATGGTATATAATATATAATATATATATATATATATATATATATATATATATATATATATATATTATATATATAATATATATATATATATATATATATATATATATATAATGCAGCAGCGAGGAGAACGGTTGGAGGGAGTGGAGATGTCCTGTTTAAGGGCAATGTGTGGTGTAAATATTATGCAGAAAATTCGGAGTGTGGAAATTAGGAGAAGGTGTGGAGTTAATAAAAGTATTAGTCAGAGGGCAGAGGAGGGTTGTTGAGGTGGTTTGGTCATTTAGAGAGAATGGATCAAAGTAGAATGACATGGAAAGCATAAATCTATAGGGGAAGGAAGGCGGGGTAGGGGTCGTCCTCGAAAGGGTTGGAGAGAGGTTTTGTGGGTAAGGGGCTTGGACTTCCAGCAAGCGTGCGTGAGCGTGTTAGATAGGAGTGAATGGAGACGAATGGTACTTGGACCTGACGATCTGTTGGAGTGTGAGCAGGGTAATATTTAGTGAAGGGATTCAGGGGGAAAACCCGTTTTTTTTCATATAGTCGGACTTGAGTCCTGGAAATGGGAAGTACAATGCCTGCACTTTAAAGGAGGGGTTTGGGATATTGGCAGTTTGGAGGGATATGTTGTGTATCTTTATATGTGTATGCTTCTAGACTGTTGTATTCTGAGCACCTCTGCAAAAACAGTGATAATGTGCGATGTGTGGTAAAAGTGTTGAATGATGATGAAAGTATTTTCTTTTTGGGGATTTTCTTTCTTTTTTGGGTCACCCTGCCTGGGTGGGAGACGGCCGACTTGTTAAAAAAAAAAAAAAAAAAAAAAATATATATATATATATATTTTATTTTTATTATTTATTATCACACCGGCCGATTCCCACCAAGGCAGGGTGGCCCGAAAAAGAAAAAAATTTCACCATCATTCACTCCATCACTGTCTTGCCAGAAGGGTGCTTTTACACTACAGTTTTAAACTGCAACATTAACACCCCTCCTTCAGAGTGCAGGCACTGTACTTCCCCTCTCCAGGACTCAAGTCCGGCTTGCCGGTTTCCCTGAATCCCTTCATAAATGTTACTTTGCTCACACTCCAACAGCACGTCAAGTATTAAAAACCATTTGTCTCCATTCACTCCTATCAAACACGCTCACGCATGCCTGCTGGAAGTCCAAGCCCCTCGCACATAAAACCTCCTTTACCCCTCCCTCCAACCCTTCCTAGGCCGACCCCTACCCCGCCTTCCTTCCACTACAGACTGATACACTCTTGAAGTCATTCTGTTTCGCTCCATTCTCTCTACATGTCCGAACCACCTCAACAACCCTTTTCCCCAGCCCTCTGGACAACAGTTTTGGTAATCCCGCACCTCCTCCTAACTTCCAAACTACGAATTCTCTGCATTATATTCACACCACACATTGCCCTCAGACATGACATCTCCACTGCCTCCAGCCTTCTCCTCGCTGCAACATTCATCACCCCACGCTTCACACCCATATAAGACGTTGGTAAACATACTCTCATACATTCCCCTCTTTGCCTCCAAGGAAAAAGTTCTTTGTCTCCACAGACTCCTAAGTCACACTCCTTTTTCCCTCATCAATTCTATGATTCACCTCATCTTTCATAGACCCACCGCTGACACGTCCCCCTCCCAAATATCTGAAAAACGTTCACCTCCTCCATACTCTCTCCCTCCAATCTGAAAATTCAATCTTTCATCACCTAATCTTTTTGTTATCCTCATAACCTTACTCTTTCCTGTATTCACCTTTAATTTTCTTCTTTTGCACACCCTAAACCAAATTCATCCACCAATCTCTGCAACTTCTCTTCAGAATCTCCCAAGAGCACAGTGTCACCCAGCAAGAGCAGCTGTGACAACTCCACTTTGTGTGTGATTCTTTATCTTTTAACTCCACGCCTCTTGCCAAGACCCTCGCTTTACTTCTCTTACAACCCCATCTATAAATATATTAAACAACCACGGTGACATCACAACCATCCTTGTCTAAGGCCTACTTTTACTGGAAAAAATTTCCCTCTTTCCTACATACTCTAACTTGAGCCTCACTATCCTCGTAAAACTCTTACTGCTTTCAGTAACCTACCTCCTACCCCATACACTTTCAACATCTGCCACATTGCCCCCCTATCCACCCTGTCATACGCCTTTTCCAAATCCATAAATGCCACAAAGACCTCTTTAGCCTTATCTAAATACTGTTCACTTATATGTTTCACTGTAAACACCTGGTCCACACACCCCCTACCTTTCCTAAAGCCTCCTTGTTCATCTGCTATCCTATTCTCCGTCTTACTCTTAATTCTTTCAATTATAACTCTACCATACACTTTACCAGGTACATATATAATTATATATATATAATTATATATTTTTTTTTTTTTTTTAATATATATATATACCATCTTTAAATGAATACTATTACACATCCCTCCAGACTGCCAATATCCCAAACCCCTCCTTTGAAGTGCAGGCATTGTACATCCCATTTCCAGAACTCAAGTCCGGCTATATAAAAATAACTGGTTTCCCCGAATCCCTTCACTAAATACTACCCTAGTCACACTCCAACAGCTCGTCAGGTCCCAAAAACCATTTGTCTCCATTCACTCCTATCTAACACGTTCATGTACGCTTGCTGAAAGTCCAAGCCCCTCACCCACAAAACCACCTCTACAACCCCCCCCACCTAACCTGATTTATCCCATATTATTATTATTATTATAATCAAGGGGGAAGCGCTAAACCCGGAGGATTATACAGCGCCTGGGGGGGGATGTGGAAGGCATTCAGGTTTAATTCGGGGAACTGGAGCACAGATTTATCCCATAGAGAAGAAACAGAAGTTTGTATTGGTGACATATTTGTGACATATTGGTGAGGTTTTGTGTGCGAGGGGCTGGGACTTCCAGCAGGTGTGCGTGAGCGTGTTTGATAGGAGTGAATGGAGACGAATGGTTTTTAATACTTGACGTGCTGTTGGAGTGTGAGCAAAGTAACATTTATGAAGGGGTTCAGGGAAACCGGCAGGCCGGACTTGAGTCCTGGAGATGGGAAGTACAGTGCCTGCACTCTGAAGGAGGGGTGTTAATGTTGCAGTTTAAAAACTGTAGTGTAGAGCACCCTTCTGGCAAGACAGTGATGGAGTGAATGATGGTGAAAGTTTTTCTTTTTCGGGCCACCCTGCCTTGGTGGGAATCGGCCAGTGTGTTAAAAAAAAAAAGAAAAAAAAATTGTGGTTTGTGTTATTGCAGTATATAGCTTATCATTTTATGCATAAAAAGTGTACAAGAATATTTTCCTTCCAGGAAAAGAAATACAGGCTCCAGAATAAGTTAGATGACCTTAAAAAGAAAGGGAAAGAAATGATTGAAGATATAGAAGGCAAACGTACTGATCTTATTTCTAAGTGGGAAGAGAAAAGTCGGGAGTTTATTGACACTTTCCTCATGCTGTTTGGTCGTGATGGACGTCTGACTCAGTACCTGACAGAAAAGAAAGACTCTGTCATGAGTGCTTTGTCTCCTCCATCAAGTCCCAAAGCTATTAGTCATTCATCAGAGGAGTGTAACAGGTAAGTGTTTTTGTTTACCTGTATCAAAATGCATTACTTATTTACAATTAAGTACTGTATAATAAATGTAGTCATTAAGAAAGAATGAAGATTATGAATTTACATAATTGAATTCCTTAAACAAATTAAGTATAATAATATACAGTATTATGATTGATGCATGATATATAGGGCAGAAGAAGACAGTGATGATTTTTTTTATCATTAACCCAGAGATTTAGTTGCTGAAGACTACCCAGTAAATTTAGCCATGTCATCAGATTGTGTAGTTTATTTCCACTGGGATACTTTAACCCTTTTACTGTACAGAATCTGGAAATTAAAATTCCTATCAGCATAGCATATTAAATGATGAGCACTAGGTTTTGCAGTTGATTGAGGCTAAATTATTATTGTTTTTTCAATGTTTAATACTATGTACACTAGTTTCTTATGATATTAGATGTGTTCAAGGATTTTAATATTCAAAATATGGGTAAATGTTTAGCAGCTCATTATAGCCTCACATAGAATATAAAATATAAAATTAATGCAGATTTTCATTTCTTTTTGTCTTCTAACATTATGTACTGTGTACAAGGCCTGGTCATGGACCGAGCCACAAGGGGCGTTGATCCCCGATTATTATTATTATAATCAAAGGGGAAGCACTAAACCCGGAGGATTATACAGCGCCTGGGGGGGGGGGATGTGGAAGGCATTCAGGCTTAATTCGGGGAACTGGAGCACAGATCCAATTCCCTAAATCAAGAGCCCCTCACCAACATCAAGGAACCTTCCTTGGGGGGTTTGATCCCCGAAACCCTCTCCAGGTATACTTGTCTTCCCCCCCTCTCCCCCATCAAACTGACCATGTCCCACCGAAGCAGGGCGACCTAAAAAGAAAAACGAAAAGTTCTCTTTTTAACTTTAGTAATGTATACAGGAGGAGTTACTAGCCCCTTGCTCCCGGCATTTTAGTTGCCTCTTATGACACGCATGGCTTACAGAGAAAGAATTCTGTTCCACTTCCCCAGGTATTACGATTTATTCTCAGTGTGATACCCTTCTAAACATGGAAATAAATCATACTGTTTGACTTTCTTAGGTTAACAATATTATTATTATAACTAAGCACTAAACCCACAAGGGCCTGGTTAACAATGTACAAAGTACAGTGGACCCCCGGTTTACGATCAGCTCCCAATGCGACCAATTATGTAAATGTATTTATGTAAGTGCATTTGTGTGTGTATGTTTAGGGGTCTGAAATAGACTAATCTAATTCACAATATTCCTTATGGGAACAAATTCGGTCAGTACTGGCACCTGAACATACTTCTAGAATGAAATAATATCGTAAACTGGGGGTTCACTGTACTTTGTAATGTGGGTGGATTATTATTATTATTATAATCAAAAAGAAGCGCTAAGCCACAAGGGCTATACAGCATAATGTGGGTGGAAAGACTCAGGATTGAGCAGTGTGAATATTCAACTATCCTGTCTGTATACATTCCCAGGTCATATTTATTTGGAGCTGAAATATTACAGTAGCTATTATCTTGGGAATTCTCATTGATTCTTTTTAGTTCCAAGCATTTAATCGAAATTTTTGTGTCATGTCATATCAGAGCTGAAATAACTTTTATATATTCTGGAGAATCTTTCCATGGATGATTGGATCTAACTGATTTGTTGCTTGGATATAATTTTACTTATCCAGCATTATCATCACTGAAAATTATTTACTTATTTTCCTTTTCATTTTCCATAAATCATTTGTACTTCATTATATGTATATTTATAGCATCATAGAATTGATGAGGGGGAAAAAGGCAAGCAGTGCACTTAGGAGTCTGGAGACAAAGAACTTTGTCCTTGAAAGCAAAGAGGGGAACGTATGAGAGTATAGTTTTACCAATGCTCTTATATGTGTGTGAAGCACGGGTGATGAATGTTGCAGCAAGGAGAAGGCTGGAGGCAGTGGAGATGTCATGTCTGAGGGCAATGTGTGGTATGAATATAATGCAGACAATTCATAGTTTGGAAGTTAAGAGGAGGTGTGGGATTGCCAAAACTGTTGTCCAGAGGGCTTAGGAAGGGTTGTTGAGGTGGTTCGGACATGTAGAGAGAATGAAGCGAAACAGAATGACTTCGAGAGTGTATAAATCTGTAGTGGAGGGGTCAGCCTAGGAAAGGTTGGAGGGAGGGGGTAAAGGAGGTTTTTTGTGCAAGGGGCTTGGACTTCCAGCAAGCATGTGTGAGCGTATTTGATAGGAGTGAATGGAGACAAATGGTTTTTAATACTTGACGTGCTGTTGGAGTGCGAGCAAAGTAACATTTATGAAGGGATTCAGGGAAACTGACAGGCCAGACTTGAGTCCTGGAGATGGGAAGTACAGTGTCTGCACTCTGAAGGAGGGGTGTTAATGTTGCAGTTTTATAAACTGTAGTGTAAAGCACCTCTCTGGCAAGACAGTGGAGTGAATGATGATGAAAGTTTTCTTTTTCGGGCCACCCTGCCTTGGTGGGAATCAACCGATGTGTTAATAAAAAATTATTGCAAGTATGTTAAAATTTCCTGTGTACTTGAAATGGTAAAATGGAATGTAACATGTTCAACTAAGGTAAATTTAAGTAGTATAATAATAACTTTTAAATCAATCTTTTTCAGTCCTCCTGCAAAAACTTCCAAATTTGATTTTTCAAGTCGACCTGGTGCATCACTAGTTGACGATGACTACTCAGACGATGACTTAGAGCCAGGGGGTATGTGAAGAATGCCGATGCATTATTTTATACACTCCATTTAATGTTATAGGATAAAATTTATTCTTAAACATGATATAGTTGCATGATGACATTTGACTATCGGTATCCTGAAAGATTTTAGCAAACTTGATTCATATTGCTTGAGTTGTGACCAAACTTCCTGATTATTAGCAACCAAAGAGATAACATATTAGGTCAAAGCACTTTTTTTTTTTTTTACATTGTCGTATTCCTCACTTGAAAGTGTTTTGGTCTGCATTATTTATTTATTGATTTTTTAAAACGTATAATAATGTATTGTTTTAATATTACACTTATTTGTTCGCAAGAACTGCTCATTATAGCAAATGTTTTATTTAACAGCAAGATGTGGTAATAGTCTTTGCTAATAGTTGTACAACAAAGTTCACAAGATATTCAGATTGTTGATGTAAATATAAATATTATTTATACATTTTCTTATTTGTGTTCATATATATTTTTTCCTTTTATTGTACAGTTAAAACAGCTTTTCATTTTCTTGTGTTGATCTGTAGATCAACATTGTTATACTCTCAAAGATGGCTTTAATGATTATTATAAACAATATTAATACCCATTTATACCTGAAGAATTGGACTTGTTGAATACTGAAGTACTTATCAAGAGACTGTTAAAAGATTTTTGCACGCACACACACACACACACACACAACACACACACACAGACAGATAATGCAAAGAGGTGAAGAACACACATGCACTTTTTGTACACTTGTGAATAATACAGTTTAGTGTATATATCTGTCACATAAAATATTTGTTTCTTTTCTCATTGTGTATTAGGATTAATTAGTTCGTTCATGAAATATATATAAAAGTGCATTATTATTTTGAAATATGTCTAAATTATTAGTTTCGTTGGTTTAGGAAGTAGAATACAGAACTGCATTGAAATATGGAGTTCTGAGAGAGTATTGCCATCTCTGCTTATTATGGAATAAGAATTTTTGAAGGCTGTATAAAGGTAAATAATGCAATACTTAAGACAGATTAGAAAGACTATATTTTTCAAGCTGCACCAAGTCTTTTGTAAAAGTTTCTCTGTGACGTGCAACTCGGATTCATGTTGTAGTTCATCCACGGCTGATGTTTAAGTAATAAAGGATGTTTTAAATGCAGGATCCCATTTTTTTCCATTTTGAAATTTATAATTATTTTATTTTCTTAGTGTGTGTATCATATAGTTTATGTGAATTGATCCTGCATTAATAGCACTGTGTACATCTCCACTTTCAGATAGTGACTCGCATTAAGTATTTGATAACTGCTAAATATTTTTTATATCTTTTGGCATTGACGTTAGTAAAACAATCACCTCCAGCTTTTACTTAAACTGTAATAAATACAAATAAGGACACTGCAAAAGACTGAACTGGGGGAGATTTATTGCCAGTAATCACATCATTGTTACCTGTAGTATTAGCAGATTTAATAGGAAATAAGCATTAATTAATTATTATTATTATTATAATCAAAAAGAAGCGCTAAGCCACAAGGGCTATACAGCGCATTAATTAATGGTATAGGAAATATAGACAGTAAAGAAAGTGAAGACTAGATTTAAAACATACGGATAGATATGTTGTGTATCTTTATGTGTGTATGCTTCTAGACTGTTGTATTCTGAGCACCTCTGCAAAAACAGTGATAATGTGCGAGTGTGGTGAAAGTGTTGAATGATGATGAAAGTATTTTCTTTTTGGGGATTTTCTTTCTTTTTTTGGGTCACCTTGCCTCGGTGGGAGACGGCCGACTTGTTGGAAAAAAAAAAAAAAAAAAAAAAAAAAATGATATACCTTACCTTAATTTGGAAAAAAAAAGTGTATAAGAATACAGCAAAACAAGTCTGTACAAGTAATTTAGCTTGGGCGAGGGTCAAGGAAAGAGTCGGTCAGTTTCCTGCAAGGAAAGAAAGAATTAAGATATAGAATAATGGTCTTGAAATTAACAGAAAATTAATAAGACATGCTGGATACATTTGTGGTCAGGTCAGAGGAAATTGCATGTAAAAAAAATGTTCCAATATGTATATACAGTGGACCCCCGGTTAACGATTTTAATCCGTGCAAGAGGGGTAATTGTTATGCGAAATAATCGTTATGTGAATGAATTTTCCCCATAAGAAATAATGGAAATAAAATTAATCCGTGCAAGACACCCAAAAGTATGAAAAAAAATTTTTTTTACCACATGAAATATTAATTTTAATACACACAAACTGAAAAAGGCATGCACACTTACATGACACTTACTTTTATTGAAGATCTGGTGATGATTGATGGGATGGGAGGAGGGGAGAGCATTATCTTCTTACTGTTTAGAAGGGGAATCCCCTTCCATTAGGACTTGAGGTAGCAAGTCCTTTTCTGGGGTTACTTCCCTTCTTCTTTTAATGCCACTAGGGCCAGCTTCAGAGTCACTGGACTTCTTTCGCACAAGATATCTGTCCATAGTGGCCTGTACCTCTCGTTCCTTTATCACTTCCCTAAAGTGTTTCACAACATTGTCAGTGTACAGGTTGCCAACACGGCTTGCAATAGCTGTGTGAGGGTGATTTTCCATCCATGAAGGTTTGCACTTCAAGCCACTTTGCACAGATTTCCTTTTATCTTTGTAGTAGGCAACTTCTTCAATTTCTCTCTCCCCTCCTCTGAACCAGTTTCCCCAGGTCTGGCCTCTTGCTCTTGAAGTTGATCTATCAGCTCATCAGTGGTTAGTTCTTCTTTTGTCCTCCTCCACCAACTCTTCCACATCCTCCCCACTAACCCCCAAACCCCCAAAGGGACTTTCCCAATGCCACAATGGATTCCTCAACTGGCATAATCCTCTCAGGGTTAGCCTCAAACCCTTCAAAATCCCTTTTGTCTACACATTCTGGCCACAGTTTCTTCCAAGCAGAGTTCAAGGTCCTTTTAGTCACTTCCTCCCAAGCCTTACCTATAAGGTTTACACAATTGAGGATTTTAAAGTGATCTCTCCAAAACTCTCTTAGAGTCAGTTGAGTTTCTGAGGTCATTACAAAGCACCTTTCAAACAGAGCTTTTGTGTTACAGTTTCTTGAAGTTGGAAATAACCTGCTGGTCCATGGGCTGCAGGAGAGGAGTGGTATTAGGAGGCAAAAACTTCACCTTAATGAAGCTCATGCCCCCATAAAGTCGCTCTGCCACGTCTGTAGGATGACCAGGGGCATTGTCTAAACACCAGGAGGCACTTAAGTTCTAATTTCTTTTCAGTTAGGTAATCTTTCACATTGGGGGCAAATGCATGGTGTAACCAGTTATAGAAAAATTCCCTAGTGACCCATGCCTTACTGTTTGCCCTCCACAGCACACACAAATTATCCTTGAGGACATTCTTTTGCCTGAATGCTCTGGGAGTTTCAGAGTGATACACTAATAAAGGCTTCACTTTGCAATCACCAGTAGCATTGGCACACATGAGAAGAGTAAGCCTGTCTTTCATAGGCTTATGTCCTGGGATTTGCCTTTTCCTCCTGAGTAATGTAGGTCCTGCTTGGCATTTTCTTCCAGAACAGGCCTGTTTCATCACAATTAAACACTTGTTCAGGTTTCAGTCCTTCAGTTTCTATGTACTCCTTGAATTCCTGCACATATTTTTCAGCCGCTTTGTGGTCCGAACTGGCAGCCTCACCATGCCTTATCACACTATGGATGCCACTACGCTTCTTAAATCTCTCAAACCAACCTTTGCTGGGCCCTTTAAATTCACTCACATCATCACTAGTTGCAGGCATTTTTTTAATTAAATCCTCATGCAACTTCCTAGCCTTTTCACATATGATCGCTTGAGAGACGCTATCTCCTGCTAGCTGTTTTTCATTTATCCACACCAATAAGAGTCTCTCAACATCTTCCATCACTGCGATCTTTGTTCGAAAACACAGTTAAACCTTTGGCAAGAACAGCTTCCTTGATTGTCTTTTTGGTGCCCACAATAGTAGCGATGGTTGATTGGGGTTTCTTGTAAAAACTTGACTAGGTCGGCGATACGCACTCCACTTTCAAAACTTATCAATGATCTCTTTCTTCATTTCAATGGGGAATTCTTACCCTTATTGGTGTACGGTTGGCACTAGAAGCTTTCTTGGGGCCCATGGTCACTTATTTTCCAGAAACAGCACCGAAAACACTGTAATAATACGAAATATTCCGAGTGTATGCTTGGATGTTACCGCGGAGGCTGGCTGGTAAACAATGGCACGGGCGGCACATGTGAGGCTGGCTGAGGGCGCACATTGGACGCGTCTCGGACGAAAATCGGTGAGCGGGTTTTTAATCGGTATGCGCGGCAAAAATTTTGCGATTAAAGTAAGCGGTATGCGAAATAATCGCTATGTGATGCCATCGTTATGCGGGGGTCCACTGTATATAAACAAGCAAAGAATAATGAATTCTTGACACAAATTGTAAAAAGAGTCTAAAAAGCTATATCGCAATGCAAATTGAATTTAGTTACATTTATAGGAAAAAGTATTAATTACCCAGTAATCATTTATATGTAGGCCTGAGTGTGGGAATTGATAAAGAAAGGATGTGAAGCCTTTACAGGTGCATTGCATAAAAAAGCTTTTTAAAAACAAATTTTTGGTGCTTCACAAATTTAGTCTGGTATGGACTAAACTAAAAACTTGCTGGTAAATCTCTCTTCAAACTACCTACACATTTTATTTAATCTCTGGTTGCAATATGGCTGCTGCTCCTTCAGTGACCAGTCACAAAGCAGTATTCAGTGGGATTATTATTATTATCAAAAAAGAAGTGAACATAAGAAAGGAGGAACACTGCAGGAGACCTAGGCCCATACTAGGCAGGTCCTTTACAATTCATCCCACTAACAAAACATTTGCCCAACCCAATTTTCAATGCCACCCACGAAATAAGCTCTGATGTGAAAGTCCCACTCAAATCCAACCCCTCCCACTCATGTACTTATCCAACCTAGATTTGAAACTACCCAAAGTCCCAGCCTCAATAACCCAACTAGGTAGACTGTTCCACTCATCCACTACCCTATTTCCAATTATTATTATAATCAAAAAGAAGCGCTAAGCCACAAGGGCTATACAGCACCCTATTTCCAAACCAATACTTTCCTATGTCCTTTCTAAATCTAAACTTATCTAATTTAAATCCATTACTGCGGGTTCTCTCTTGGAGAGACATCCTCAAGACCTTATTAATATCACCTTTAATAATACCTATCTTCCACTTATACACTTCGATCAGGTCTCCCCTCATTCTTCGTCTAACAAGTGAATGTAACTTAAGAGTCTTCAATCTTTCTTCATAAGGAAGATTTCTAATGCTATGTATTAATTTAGTCATCCTACGCTGAATGTTTTCTAACGAATTTATGTCCATTTTGTAATACGGAGACCAGAACTGAGCTGCATAATCTAGGTGAGGCCTTACTAATGATGTATAAGGCTGCAGTATGACCTCTGGACTTCTGTTGCTTACACTTCTTGATATAAATCCCAATAATCTATTTGCCTTATTACGTACGCTTAGGCATTGCTGTCTTGGTTTAAGGTTGCTGCTCACCATAACCCCCAAGTCCTTTTTGCAATCTGTATGGCTAAGTTCTACATCATTTAACTTATAAGTACTAGGGTTATGGGCACTCCCAAGCTTCAGAACCTTGCATTTATCTACATTGAACTGCATCTGCCACTTTTCTGACCAAGAATAGAGTTTGTTTAAATACTCCTGAAGTTCCATAACATCTACGTTTGAATCAATTATCCTACCTATCTTTGTGTCATCGGCGAATTTGCTCATATCACTAGTAATTCCCTCATCAAGATCATTGATATATATTATAAACAACGGGCCCAAGACTGATCCCTGTGGAACGCCACTTGTTACAGATCCCCACTCGGATTTAACCCCATTTATGGACACTCTCTGCTTCCTGTCAGTGAGCCATGACTCGATCCACGAGAGCACTTTTCCCCCAATGCCATGAGCTGCCACTTTCTTTAACAGTCTATGGTGTGGAACTCTATCAAAAGCCTTACTAAAATCTAAGTAAATAATATCAAATTCTTTATTGTGGTCAACAGCCTCAAAAGCTTTACTGAAGAAAGTTAATACAGTGGACCCCCGGTTAACGATTTTAATCCGTGCAAGAGGGCTCATCGTTATGCGAAATAATCGTTATGCGAATGAATTTTCCCCATAAGAAATAATGGAAATCAAATTAATCCGTGCAAGATGCCCAAAAGTATGAAAAAAATTTTTTTTTACCACATGAAATGTTAATTTTAATACACACAAACTGAAAAAGGCATGCACAATTAAATGACACTTACTTTTATTGAAGATCTGGTGATGATTGATGGGATGGGAGGAGGGGAGAGCATTATCTTCTTACTGTTTAGAAGGGGAATCCCCTTCCATTACGACTTGAGGTAGCAAGTCCTTTTCCGGGGTTACTTCCCTTCTTCTTTTAATGCCACTAGGACCAGCTTGAGAGTCACTGGACCTCTGTCGCACAACAAATCTGTCCATAGAGCTCTGTACCTCCCGTTCCTTTACGATTTGTCTAAAATGGGCCACAACATTGTCATTGAAATAGTCACCAGCACGGCTTGCAACAGCTGTGTCAGGGTGATTTTTCATCTATAAAGGTTTGCAGTTCAACCCACTGTGCACACATTTCCTTAATCTTTGAAGTAGGCACAATGGATTCCACAACTGGCATAGGCTTCTCAGGGTTAGCCCCAAACCCTTCAAAATCTTTCTTAATTTCCATACTAATTCTCACCCTTTTTACCACAGGGTTGGCACTAGAAGCTTTCTTGGGGCCCATGGTCACTTATTTTCCAGAAACAGCACCGAAAACACTGTAATAATACGAAATATTCCGAGTGTATGCTTGGATGTTACCGCGGAGGCTGGCTGGTAAACAATGGGACGGCCGGCACATGTGAGGCTGGCTGAGGGCACATTGGACGCGTCTCGGACGAAAATCGGTAAGCGGGTTTTTAATCGGTATGCGCGGCAAAAATTTTGCGATAAAAGTAATCGGTATGCGGAAAAATCGCTATGTGATGCCATCGTTATGCGGGGGTCCACTGTAAATTAGTTAGACAAGACCGGCCTCTTGTGAATCCATGTTGAGTATCATTAATCAAGCTATGCTTATCGAGATGGCTTCTTATAATCTCAGCTATAACTGACTAGTAATTTGCCTACAATTGAGGTCAGGCTTATTGGGCGGTAATTTGACGGTAACGACTTGTCCCGTTTTAAAAATAGGAGTTACATTAGCCATCTTCCACATATCAGACACTACACCTGTTTGAAGAGATAAATTAAAAATATTAGTTAATGGTTCACAGAGTTCCATTTTGCATTCCTTAAGAACCCTTGAAAAAACCTCATCAGGACCCGGCGACTTATTTTGCTTCAGTCTGTCTATCTGCTTCACAACCATCTCACTAGTGACTGTGATGTTACATAATTTATCTTCTTCTA